AGACAAAGCTGGTTATAGCAATACTGAAAACTTTCACAGAAGCTTGCTCTTGATGTTGCTGTTCTAGAAAGATACAGATAGAGATGTACCTCTCAGGAAGATAAATCCAAATAAGGAGGGTGGAAACAATGATGCAGTAACACCCACTCTCTCAATATTTCCTTAAAAAACCCAAATCACCAAATGCTCATTAGTTAGAAAATTTTGTATTCCTTCAAGTTTTGCATAACTTAGAGCAGTTTGAGAGGCATTTTCCAAGTTGAGTAGGAAAGTTGTGTCAGTGCTGCTTTCAGGGAGGTGTTACAGAGGGAGGCCTATGCAAAGTGCAGACCACCCTCACCTCAGCAGGTCTCCTACCAAGACAGAAGTCTCCAGCACAGTGCTACAATTTGCAGAAGTTTGAACTAAGGGCCATGTCAGTTTGTTTTGGCCCTGGGGACTGATAACAGAAACTGCCAGAGCTCTGAAACAGGCAAGCAGTGCTGCCTAATTCACAGCACGTCCTTGGCAGTCTACCTACACAACTTGTGAAGGATAAGTCTTTCTTTCAAACTGTCAAAAAAGGCCAAGGACAGTCTGGGCATTCTCCTAAGTAATTCCGTGCTCTTGATGCAAAAGAAACCCTTACCAATAAAAAAAATAATAAAAAAAAAATAAAAAATGCCAGTGTCCTAACTGGATCCAAGTGTGTGAAATTTAATTTCCCTGAGGGCTGAGAGTGAAGATTGGGTAAGAAAACTGGGACACGAATGGATTGGTTCATATGAAAACCTGAAATAGCCCTGGGCAGAAATTTGGAAGGATTGTGAAATACTGTATAAGAAGAATCCACCTTCATATGCAGGGAGTAACTCAAGATGGGAGATGTAGCAACACAAACAGATACTCCAAAAGGTTCTACAAAGCTATATACAAGGTTTTAAGTGAATTTTTCCCATTTTGTGGTGGGAATATAGAATGTGGCAATCCAATGCCACGGTGTTATGCAAATATTTGTACCAGATGACTTGAACAGAAATAATTAGAAGTTCAGATGCTTTGAACATATGAGATAGACAACATTGCTGATACTGCTGATATCAGAGATATCAGACAGCTGATGCTTGTATGATCAAAGTTAAACATCTTCCCATTTAGTTCCGAAATTCAGTTGAGGTTGTCTTAGCCTGGTACACAACTTTTGGTAGATGGTGTGCAGACAGTATTAAGGCTGAGAGATGTAGGAATGCTGACTCCAAGCAAAGAGTTCAATCCTACTGCAAGATGACAATGCACTGGAAAGAGAGTAGGCTGCTTGGGTAAAGTATCAGACCAAATCAGCCAGTGCTTCCTCTCCTCACAATCATAAATCCTAACACCTCAACCTGCCCTCCTCAGACTTTCTGGTGACCATGGAGAACAATGGCACTGAATGTTCCTGAGCTCTCAGGGAGAAAGGCTCCTTTAGCAGACCCTCATCTTGGATCCACCTTTGCTGGAATAATTTTTTTTTTCCCCTGGGCAGTGGAAAGAAAACAATTTTAAAAAAAAAATCTTCATTTGCAAAAACCAAGCAATTAAAAAAAAAAATTGTGCACCCAAGCCTTTAACAGGTAGGTCTCTGTTGCCAGATACCAACCTGAAGATTTGGTAACTTCAAGTAAACAATCTATTTGTACAATTTGTGCAGGGGTGAATGCACTAAAAGGACATCTGCTCCCTCCCCAGACTTTAAAAGAAAATTGCTATTTATTTCATCAGAGGGATCTTACATTAGGTCTTCTTGGTAGACAGGCTGACTCAAACTGCCTCTTGCTGAAGCCTAAGTCTGGCAAACTGTACTATTGGGCTTCATGAGACTATGTTTGAGGCATGGTCTCACTGGTTTCTTGGGAGAACCTGAAGCCTGTTGATAAGCTAAAGTATTCATAGGGGATTTTCCTTGTGAAAACAACAGATTCTCCCTAGTCTGGATTATAACTAGACTATAAAATTTTATGCTACTAGATTTTAAAATTAATTTTGAGGGCTTTTTAAAGCATTATTTTAGCTTCAGAATTTATAATTCTAGGATTACTCAATTCAAACCATCTATTAGATAAACTGCTTGTCTGTCAGATTGCTTCACTGAGTCAGCTTCTGCCCAAAACACTGATTCTTTGGCTTCTTCGAGCACAAGAGCATTTGAGGGAAATCCACAATGGTCCTTCCAAAGCAAAGAGCAGGGATCCAGCAAAAGTAGCAAGACACCTTTACAGTCACACCAAGGTTTCTTTGGAGGAATGAATAGGTATCTGTCAGCAGGCATTTTACATGTCAAGGCACAAACCAGGCTGGGGAACCTAACAGAAGAATTATGGAAAATGATCCCTTCAAGCTACAAGTCTTTACCTGATATAATTTAAGGAACTCTTCTTTAAAGTACTCTTTCCAATTCATACTCTGCTGTCCAGGAAGAAGAAAACAGTGAGGTACAAGGTGAGATGCTATCGACCCCAAAAGAAGAAGGAAGAGTACACTTTCTCCAAAGCAGAGACTACTCTATCAGAACAGGTCTCCCTCACACCAGCAAGTCAGAGTGACTCCAAAGCTGCTGGTTTGAATATCACTCTTTCAATCTCACAAAGAAAGATGACTCTGGTACCTGGCCCACAGATGAAAGGTTCATTTTAGGCTTCTGGCCCTTAGACTACATGTAATACGAGTCAGAAACCTAATGACTTTCGTGTCTCAACCTGTTATGTGCTGGAGCCTGCAACCGATGCCTTGACTCATCCCTGGAGCACTGCTCTTTCAGGCAAGATAATCAAGAAGTTATTTTTCATAGACAATACTTCATATAACAGTAAGTCTCAGGAGGTTTCAACTGGCCCAAAAATATCTATGAGACCATCCTTAGTTTTGATAACATTCATACATGTGATATTGGCAGAAAAGGAAACATATAAGCAATGTTGACAAAAACCTTGTGCTAAAGTTGAGTAACAAAGCTAGAGTCTACCTAGATATAAACTGACCAGGTCAGGTTCCAAGAAACAATTTGTATTAGTGTCCAAATGCTACTGGATAATTTTTACCTAGCACTTGGTCTATACAAATATGCATATATATCTATATATATATATACACACATATATACATCCCAACGCTCCACTGGAAAAAAACCCGATGGCAGAATCTCAGACAAAACCCAAACAACTATATCATGATTACTGTCCTATTGCTTCATGCCATTGTCTTGACATCCAAATGAGTTTAATAATTGTTCTTTTGAAGCTGCTATATGTTAAAAAAAAGTCTCTCAGGTTCTGGAAGTGGCTGGGAATTCCAGGTTCTAACAGCTACACTGGAAATATTCACTCATCAAGAGGTTCAAAAGACACTGTCAGAACTGAAACACAAACACATGTCAGAATGACTTGAAACAGAATGACTGTAACTCAGAGTTTGGGTTTTCTTTAAATTATGTTTGAAGAGGTTTTAATATGTTTAATTTATTAAACTGGCTTTGATACTACAGGCATAGCTCTCACTTTCAAGTGCTACAATGGCTAAATTGAGCGCAGAATACATTAAGCTTAAACTCACTGCCACCATACACATTTTTGAAAGACATTTTAGTGTTTCTCCACTTGAAGTAATATACTCTCTCTGTGAATTTGACATGAAAACAGAAGCAGCAGGCTCTCATTCTGCATACACAACAGTGTCAGACACCATCAGTGCTCCAACTACCAAAAAAACCCACTAAGTAATCACAACTACTAGGAGCTGAGCACAAGCAGCTTCTAAGAAAACCCCCAAAAGAACAGATTTGGTTTTTGAAGAACAGTTCAAGTTTTCCCAGACATTACTTCAATCTCTCCTGGCAGACCCAGGCTTTGGCATGGCTTCTTTTGCTCCCCTCTGCCGGGCCTTCATTGACGAGGCTGTCATAAGAAAGCCCACGTGCCTTGCTGTGTGTACAGTTCTCTTCCTCCAGCACGGTCAGGGGCACTATTTCAGTCCACCTAACACTATGAGCTGATGATGCAGAGGCAGTAGTATCAGGTGAAACCCAGGCTTTGAACCAAGTCACAACCCATGAAGTGTGTGTGCTTTGTGCCCTTTGAAAAGGCAGGTCAGAGCTGTGGGATCAAGAAACTGAAAATCTTCCCCCCTCTGACTGGAGAGAACACAATGGGAACACTGCCTTTCCTCTAGAGCAGGAGTGGGCAGTGAAGGGCAAGATATATAGATTTATACAGTGGACACAATGAATTCCTGCTGGCTCATAACCAACCCTTAGAGTTACAGTACTACACTTTGCCTGCCAGCACCACCAGGTAATGCCCACACACACTGTTAAACACTTGATTTCTTAGAGATGCACTCTTGTTTTATCTACTCTACAGACACCATTTGCTCACACATGCAGCAGTTTTCTGACTGCTTAGTACCAGTGAGCTACCAGAGTCACAAATACTTCATTCAAAAGGTATGTGAGAGTTAAGAGCCTAATTATTTGAAAAGTCCTAGGATTCTGTAAAAAGTATTCAGTTAATACTGTCCTACAGTTTATTTCATTCAACCTTGTCTTTGCCTCAAGTGACACATCCGAGATGGCATGTTGACAGTACAGGAGAGTGGTTACTGTTCCAAAAGAAACAAAACAAATACTCCAACACCCCCACCTTTGGGCTTAAATGCAGTATCACTACAGTTTTTGAATGTAACAAACCACAGCATGGGTGCCCTGGCATAAACCCAGAATCCTAGGTAGAAGAAAGTAAGTGCTCTTTACTAGCTGCTTTGTTTTAGTACACACACATCAGGATTTGCAGAAGTGCCATTTGTCAGAAACACAGCAGAGCAGAGAAAGAAAAGTAAGTCTCTAACTGCCTACTAACAAAGAAAGCTAATTTAATTTTGAAACAAAAGGAGCTAAATTCATCATTGTGAGACAGCCCCAGGACGTCCAAGCACGAAAAGGAAGAAAAGGAGTTTGCCAAAGACATGCAGAAGAAGCTTTTTAAAGTTACCTGGAATCAGGATATTTTGTAAGCGTGGCCAAGCTGCTGGTATACATGTGCCCACCCACATCAATGTGAACTGGTGCGTTGGATTTTGTGAGCTGTGCTGGAGTGGGGATGCCTTGATTGTTCAATGGAGATGCAGGGGATCTAGTGATCAGAGGTCTTGACATATTGGGCCGACTGTCCTGTGAAAAGATAGACCTGGGTTAATGATCCTCTTTAAAACCTTACAGAAACCCCCAGTCTTGAATCAATAGGACTGTCTCACAGTCTCTGATTATGACTTTCATCTTAGTAAAGCACAGACAAGTATTCGGCAGTTTTAAAAATGAATCCAGCTCTAAGGGTTTGAAACGGCTATGTTTTAAATGAGTGGGGCAAAACGCACTGATAAAATCCACGAAGAAGAAATCACGTTCAATAAAACAAGTTTTTCCTGAATACTACTCCGACAGTCAATCCATACCAACAAAAAGGGTCATTCTCATTTTTAAGAACTGATGAAAGCACTGACGGAAAGAGATACAGACAAAAAGACTGAGAACAATATTTTCCTTAATTAAGACGACCCCAGGAAGAGTTTCCATTCCTTCCCAAACCCTCCGTCACTGCCGTACCACCAGAACAGAAATACAAACCCTCAACTCCTCCATCCTGCACACTCTTCTCTCGAATTCCCAATTCACATAGCACAGGAACAGAAGCAGAAACACCTGGACTAGTCAACTGCTCATGGACTGCGGACCACTGGACATCGACAGCCTTTGAGAAAGACATTTTCCATTTAAAAGTTATACGTATGGCGACAGCTGCCCCCGTGTGCCGCGGGTAGGCTGCGGGTCCGAGCGGCTTCCCGGGGCCGGCGAGCGCGGAGCGGGAGCGGGAGCGGCGCTTTGCGGATGGAGCCAACTTTTGGTCGCAGAGGGAGCCCGGCCGCCTGCGCGCTGCGGGTGGGGCAGGGCAGGGCAGGGCAGGGCAGGGCGATGAGCTGGAGCCAGGAAGGCAGGCGGCAGGCAAAGTTGGGGATTAAAATAGAAATGCGTCCGAGAGCGGTTCTGAGACAACCCCGCTTTCGACTGAAGGACAGCTCCGCGCGGGGTGGAATCTTATAGGGATGCCCTGAGAACTAAAAGCCCTTGCAAATGACTGAGTTTTACATTTAAAAGGTAAGCAAAGCAGCGAGAAGTCAGATACGCTTCATCACGAAACTCCCTTTGTTCTTTCAACACTGTCTTTCAGCTGCACAAATTAATGGATTCCTTGTAAACATCTCCTCAGAGGCAGGCGGCAAACCCCAGCAAAGCGGAGCGCGGCCATCCGAGAGAGTTACGGGACATTGGGGCTAGCAAAGCCAGCCACCGCCGCCGCCAAAAACAGCACTTCTCCATTCTTCATGCCTCTTAAAAGACTCAAACTATAAAGGCAACGTGAGCCAGGTAATCGTCTGGATGAAATGATTTACGGGCCAACGTTGCACAATAAATCCGAGTAATATGTAACAAAATGCACCTATAAACCACAAGGTACTTAACTAATTTTCTTTCATACACAAAAGCTAGCTTAGGTCTAACTGATAAAAACTAAGGGAATGAAGAAAAACATCTAGTTTAGATGTTGGGGAGTGGGGGGCGGGGGGAGGAAGGGTTGGGTTTCTTCTCTTTCTTTATAAGCAGAAGTTAATATAAATCTGCAGAAATACCAGGCTTAATCACTACAATTGCTGGAGGAGGTGCCTGCAGCACAAAGAAGACAAGTCCAGACAAAATAAGGTACACACGCTATGCAAAACTAATGTCTGCTACAAATGCTATGTGGTACAACCACCACCCAAGATGCTACTGATCTGCAGAGCGGTATTTAGTAAAATAATGAAGAAAAAATTAAAAACGACTACAAAGGTGAAAGGACTGATACAAACTGGGGGTGGGGGGAGCATGAGCTGGACGATTAGCAGGAGGAAGGCAGCATGTCTGAGGAACACATTTCAGTGCTTAAAAGCAGACAAACAGCAGAAAGAAAGATAAAATTATCAATTAAATTTTCAATAAATTCATATCAATGAAATTATCAATAAAATTATCAATGAAAGTTGAGACTAAAATGAAAACCAAATTCTGTAACTTGTATGAGATGGACACCAGCATGTCCCTTCACAGGATCCACTCTGGCAGAGAAAACATAGCTCTCTTGCAATTTAGCACAGTGCAGCACCACCAAGTCTGTCATAGTTTTTCAATTGGACACATTCTCCTGTATACCCTGCCTGGGGCTGCTTCGAGAGAAAATGAACAGATTTGCAGGGTTAATATTGTAGTTAGGGTGGAACCTCATTCAGTGTAGCTGTGACAGCACTGGCTGCACAAAACAGTAGAAGAATGTGTAGTATAAACATCACTGCCAGGATGTGAGATAGGTTGGAGGACCTAGGTTGGAGGCATTTTAAAAGGCAAAAGAACCCACAAAACCTAAGAAAAGGGAACCAGTTTCCAAACCCAAGTCATAACCAAGCTGCCATTTACACAGTTTACCTACTAAAACTCGCAAGAAATAAAAATGCTTTATAGTAAAACCTTTTGCTTTTATCTCACCCTCCTCCTTTTCAACATTTCCTCATCAAGTTACCTGTATTTATTGTGTCTCATGAAACAAAGTTCTTCTTTTCAATGGCTGATATTAAGCACAGTAATGCTAACCTTGCTCCAGTCTTAGCCCATAAAACACATTTCCCTGTATAAAAACAGTTCAGTACCATTTTGGAAACATTTTGAAATTAGGAAATTGTATTTCTACTGCAGTTGCCCCAGAGAAACTAAAGCAGAAATGGGATTCAGAGAAGCAGGTGCTTTTAAAAAATACCATTTTTTTTTAATGTGGCACAACTCAATAGCACTGTCAGAGCACAGAAGATCACCATCCAATGGGTACAGAATTTAACAGATCAGTTATATAATTGCATCAGTTAAATCACTGTATTGTTCAGCTATGGAAAGGATAATGCAGGGGCAAACAGTCTCTGGAGAAAATCATGGCTTGTGTTGGATTATTGCAAACTTGGAAGTGAACAAGCTCTGGTAAAAAGTAGTTAAAACAAGGCACTGCTGGTAAGTTAAGCTTCTACCACCTAATGTGATTACAAATACAATTCCTCAGCAAGTATTACAGGTGGAGAGAAGGGAGTCAGAGAAGCTAAACTCAACGGGCTCCAGCAAACTATCTGGAACAGCTGACAACAAAAAGAATCAAAAAGCTCTTCAGAAGCCTTTCCTGGTGTCAGGCAGGTGAGACATGAACCCAGGAACGGGTTCAGAGCTCAGCCACATAGGGTTGTTCCCACATGGGAGATCACAGAGGTTGCTGTCTGCCTTGGGAAAGCATCAGCTTTGTTCATGAATGTGGCACAAAGCGTGACCACCTGCACTGGCTGGATGGGCAGTGATGCTCCTGACCTGTCAACAGTCTGACCCTTCATAGCTTTCCTTCTCCAACATTTTATTATTTATCCTACAAAAAAAATTAAATAAGAACACAAAGGACAGTTTTATGACAGTTCCATGTACCCAAAATACTTCAGGGTATTTCAATCAATAAATAAATAAAACATTTATCATTATTAATATCCAGATGATTCCCCCCACCCCAACAACTTTTCATAAAATTTGATTCCTACTTTCACTCAGAATAAGTGTATGACTGAAACTATGCAATCAAAAGTGCCAAAATCTGTGTGCTAGGCAGGCTAAAGGCATTTAGGTTGTCTAAAACTTTCCAGTTTTAGTTCAGCACACAAGAGCACTGTTCTTAGAGTAGTTTGGGGCTCCTCCTTCCTTGTTGATATTTGAAGGAGTCTTTCCACAACAAGCAGCTCATAGGCACAGGTCTTTAGAGTATATCTGAATCTACTTCACATTTTCTGCTCTAGGCAAGCCCTCCTGTAAGCTCAATAAAAGCAAAAGCAGCTCTGCCTTAACTACTCCTCCTGGGATTTACAAAAATCCCTATAATTTAGAAGTCTTCCTTACCAAAGGGGGGAGCAAAGATCGTGAAGAAGAGCTTTCCTTTCTCTCCCTGCCTTTTTTTCTATACCATGTTCTCCCCAACTCCACTCAAACACATTGTTAAAGAGTAAGCCTTTACACCTGGGTTGAAAAAGACCACAGCAGCTGCAGGGCTGAGATGTGCACTCATGCAACTGGTCTACCAAACGACAACAACAGGAACCATGTCAATGTTCTGGTAGCAAGTGGAAGGAATAGGAGATATCTGAAGAATATGAGTCATTACAATGTGCTAAGTGTACAAAAATCAAAGAGATGGGAGGCTTATTCCTCCCCTCAAAATATTAGCATTGGTGTCCTAAGTGTTATTTACACTCTGTGGTCTTGAGTAAAGTCATCGTGGTTCCCTTCTTAAGACATAAACCTTGACAAAAACCATGCCACTACAAGACAGCCCAAGCTCAGGCACAGAAGGACCGGCATTCAACTACAAACTGTCTGCTTGACTCACTGGACTGTGAGGATCCTTTTAGTTTGCAGGTCAAGACGCTGCTGGCTGGAATTATTTTAGCCAATGTCTTCCCTGTAAGCCAGCCCAGCTCAAGCCGAAGTGTATATGCCACTCAGCAGCATACATACTCCTTGTCAAAGCCCTAGCAATTATTACTGCTGAGAAACTCAAATTTCTAACTCCCCTGGATTTTTATGGGGGATGTCAGGGAAAGCTTGTCTTATCTGTTCTAGACATTAGAATGAATAATCATCCAGTAGTTTATTCTAAAGTATCAAATCAGTCTGTGCTCATTATCCTTTTTTCACAACATGAGGCAGTGCTTCTCCTCACGAAAGCTCAGTGCCCAGGAACAACTGGAAACAGCAGTTAACACATCCACATCAGCCACCTCCAGCAGAAGAGTCTGAACACATGCATCCATCCCACTGTATGGGGAGTGAAGCCAAACAGCAAACAAACTTCAGAAGCTGGTGTCAAATCCCTTTTCCTCCAGTAAGAGCAGAAATCACTCAAGTGTCAGGGACATCTGTGTGCCTGGACTCTGAAATAAACAGCAGACTGATGCTCTGGGGTGCTTGTGGGATGGGGGAAAGTGCAGCTCAAGAACTTCATCCAAACCAGGAACATTATGACTGCTCTTGGATTTGGCTCCTGCACAAGTGTCCCCATTTTGAAGATGCGCTTTTTCAAAACAAACATTTCATTAAAGATTAAAAAAATAATCATGATCATGTCTCACCACAATGCTTAAACAAGTAGCCCCCAACTTTTTTGAATTCAGCAAAAAGAGTTGCCACAACAAAGAGGCTAGAGAAAGCATTTATTTAACATAAACAATATCAGAATAGTACAAACAGCACTTCTGGAAGGTGTAGCAAGCAGGCAGATATACAGGGCTACGTGTCCAAGGAACCCAGGAGTTTATCCTGCTGGAAGGGGAAAATCCCACCCTGGGTACCTCTGTGGGCTGGTGATGTCCTCACAACAAACTCTCTGGCTGTGGCTCTGGTACTCAGCATCCACAGATAATACCAAACTGTGCTGGCCCCTCAGACAGAGCCCTGCAAGGTGGTCAAAGATGACCATGTGCACCGCACAGAGCATGCAAACAGCATTTTAATCTCAAGGTGTGCATGCCATCATGGTGCTTTCTCTTCACCTTCACTCTGAAGAGCCCAGAAGCACAAAGAAATTGCTCAGATCTTTGTCAAAAAGTCTTTACACGTAAGCACATCCTTTTCTTCTGCTTCTTCACCCTGACACCAATGGTCGGTAGCTCCCTGAGGACATGGTTGGGCTCTACTGCTGCCACTGGGTCTGCAAAACAAAGAAATAGCCCATTGTTTTCCCCTGCAAAAATATGCTGATTGCACTGTCATGTTTTGCCTTTCATCAATATAATCCAGCTGCCCTTTCTCTCACAGCTGCAAGGTTTAGGATTGCTGACTCTGAACATTAGGAATTATGTTTATAAGGCAAAACTCCAGAACAATTGTGTTTGAGTGTCACACGAGAAATGGGCCCAAAACACAATCAGCTGCAATTCAATGCCACAGTAAGCTAAGACATGAGGTCCACTGAAACTCAATAGTAGTACTAGATTTATTATTCTAAACCTCTAAAGCTCCATTTTAAATCCTGAATCTCTGTCAACATACGACAGAAGGTCAAATTATCCTATGCAAGACTGTCAAATACAATGGAGAGCTTGAGAACCAGGAAGGTTTTCTGGATATGCTGAGCCACCCAAATGCAGAAGATCTACTGTGCCAAGCAGCTGCTCACTCCTCACCCCAAAGGGCCATGCTTGTATTATTTACAGAAACACATGCAGAAATGCATTTTAGAAAGGTGGATGTCAGAAGACCACCTGAGAGAGGGGACAGAAGGGTCCCTCATAGCCAGGGTGTAGGGTATAGTTCATCACAAAACAAAAACCTTGGCCAAAACTCTTTCCTGAAGGTTTCAGGAACAGTATTAGGCTGTCCTCTCTGTACCATGAAATAGTCCAAATGCAGATCAAGCCTACAAAGGTGATAGATGCACCTCTGGTCGCAGCAGAGTGGCTACAGCAGTGGTGACAGGAGCACTTACCTGATGGGACAAATTTAAGTGGTACATTCTCCTTGTCCCAGAGTCACTGGCCCCGGAGTGGAGCGCTGATCTGGCCCCTCAAGACGGGGGTCCCTTGCAGCACATCCCAAATGCTGGCTGCTTACAGCCTTGTCCTCCTTGAGGTGCTGGCACTGCTGAGCACGTACACACGCTAGGTGCTGCAAGCGCTGGGGAGATGTGGTGGCATTTCCTTGGTAAAATGAGCCTTGCTGGGATTTCAGAGATGACCAGGACCTAGAATAAATGACACAGGTGCAGAGAACCAAATGCAAGGCAAGTGGCTGAAGGAAGTGAGGTATTTGTTTGTGCTGGGTGGAGTGGAGAAAGCTGCCTATCTGGAGACACAGGACAGTTAAAAACCACCCTTGGACAAGAGCTTGGAGGCACCTTAATAATTCCAGAGCCCAGGAGCCAAGTCTATAGCACACAACTAGCTTAAATAGAACAGCTCTAACCACACTTTCATCAAACTTGTCACTGAGCCCTCAAGAAAAATTTTTAAGTGGAGAAAAAGAATTAATGGATAATAACAGAAGTCAAATGAGGGCCTGTGCTTACACCAGTACAGCAGCAAAGACAAGTCCAAAAACCTGGCAAAGAGACAGGATGTATCTTCTGAAGTGCTTATAAAATTCTCTGAAAACCTCCCTAAGCCTTGAAACTGCAGACAAAAGTTTAATACCTCCCTCAAAATATTTTATAAGTTTGCACTCATTATGAAAGATTAGCTCAGCCCCTTGCTTGTTTGGGTGAGTAGTGCTGAGGTCAGCCCAAATGTTGTAATTTATTACATCCCTGTTCTTCTGTGCTGCCTACCCATTTCTTCCTTGGGTCAAGCACAAGCCTTCTGCTGGAGGTGGCTGATGTGCACACTTGCTGTGCTTGGGTCAAGCAAGTGACAAACATGGCCAGCACAGAATCCGACTGAAGGAAGCTCCTAACACAATCAGGATCTTTGGAATACATCCAAACCCACTGTATCATAAAAAACCCCAAACCAAACTTGGGGGTCCAGCCCAGATTCACTACCCCCAAGCACAAACACTTTGGCTTTCACGATGGAAGGAGAATTTCTACAGCCTTTAGAGGTACTGATCCAATTCTCAATCAGCAAAAGCCTCCATTAATTTACAAGCAAAACCAGATTTGAAAGCTGCTCTCAATTAGCACACAGCACACACTGCCCAACTGACACTGTAATCACGGGGTGTTCACCCCAGGATGCAGAAGGCAAAAACATCCCCTAACCATGCTGGAGGACACAGTGTTTAGACACAGGAGGACATTGGAACAAAGGTGACTGACTTGCCATAATGCTGCTGAGGATGTCCTATGATAGGGGCAGACTGGACAGCCAGCGTTTCAGGCCTTTTGCTCCACCAAGGGCTTGTCTGTTCTGCACCAGCATCTACTCAAATTAGCAGTGAAACTGAGTTAGGAGTAACCAAACGAAAGTGTAACTCCCCAGCCTGAGCTGGACATGAGCAGTTCAAAATATTTCATGAGGTACACAATGCAGTGCTTCAGTCACCTTCACTCAAACTTCTTTATTTTCACTTGCAAGAGAGGTCAACTAATTCCTTGGTCTGAACAAGGAACAACTGCAGTAATTGTGGACAAGAGGGAAAAAAAAAAAAAAAAAAAAAGAGGAAACACTATTAAAAGATGAGCAGTCCCTGGGAAAGGCTTCCAGGTCTAAAGAGCCTTTAGCAGCCTGGCAGCCCTGCCCACAACACTACAGCTTGATACAAAAGTCTTTGCTTCTGCTGCCCTGAGGACAGTTTCATTTACTTTCCTTTAAAACTGGAAAATAGGTCGCTTTTCTTCTTGTGCGTCTATCAAACCTCAAGTAGCAAAGACAATGTGAATTTACTTGTGCTTCATAGGAAAGCAAGCACACAAAAAGGGAGTTTCACCTTTTGCAAAGGGCAGAGATGACAGACTATTTCCCCACCATACTTCACTCATTTAAGTGAGAAGCATTGATCCAAATATCTTGGACCACTTCATCCCTGCTGCAAGAGGTTTGGCATGCCAGCTACTTTGCACCTAGCATACCTAAATACTGTGGGGCTCCATTCAGAGCCTACATCTCCTCCCTGAAACAGGCAGCCACTCAGTCAGCCCTTCCCAGCCCCAGTGAACAGCCCAGCACAGAGCAGTCAACAGCTCCCACTGCCTCTGTAAGGGATGCAGCATCTGCCTGCTCATCTGCTGCACCAGTGAAGGCAGGAATGTGACAGCCACCTTCACCACATGTACATGGGGTCTGGGCCAGGAACAGCTATGGGAAGGAACAGGGGAGCTCTGAACACTGGAATCCATCTTTCAACTGTTCCTGAGTAGACTACTTGTAGGTTGAGATTTATTAATAATGCAATTTTTAGTCAGACTTTTCACTCAAGTGCTGTTGCCTTTTATCCACTTCTAGCAGGCACTCTACACATATTTTGCAACAGTCTTCACATAAGGATAAGAGAAAAACAACAACAAACACTCCCTCCTGGGTTTAGAAGGGAAGGACTTCTCTCTGCCAGAACCATGCTGGTATATTTGAATGCAAAGTCAAACAAACCCTTACAAATGGTGTCATGATCTGAGTGGGAGAGAAACCAACTGGTTACATTCTTCTTGGACCAAATTTGCAACCTGTCCAATAATCTTCTGGTGAGAAGTAACACTAAAAAACAAGCATTGTTAAAATCTGCTTTGTTTGCAAGGTAAGATCCTATCAGTAGTACATGAATAAAGATGTATGTCTTGAACTGCAGTTGTATCTAAAAATTTTAAAGACCCATAAAAATGTAGACTTCAGTGGGATAACTGAAGATTGCCATGAATTGTCAGAATTTGAGAAATGGGTTTTTCTTCTTTAGATTTGACTCACAAAGTGAACAAAAATAAGCCTGTACTGCCTTATTTGAAGTCAGTTTACACTCCAGTTTGAATAGCACCTGCCTTTGGGTATGTTCCAGAAGATCATCTACCTTTCCACAAAGGGAGGCTAACACCCATTGTAAAACTTCCAGAGGCACATTAGATGTCTGTTCTCCCCCCAGCAATTTCACCCTTAGAAGTAGAAGGAACGCTGCCAGTTACAGCCTGTGCTAAGGAAACATGAGTTATAATTTTACCCTGGGAAAATTGCTGAACTGGGAGCTTCTGGTGTGGCATAGGTCTTGCCTTCGCAATCCAATGGTTCTTTTGATTCAGAGAGGCTTTGAAAGGGTGGTGATGAAAAACATAGCCTCTCCCTTTGAATCAGCCAGCCGCCTGCTTTCCTTTGCACTTTTAAATTTGGTTTATTAATTTGCCTAGGAGCAGAAAGAAATAACACTGACCCATCTAGAGAAGATATCTACTTCAGACCAAACATAAAAACAAAAAAAAAAAAAACCAAAACAAAAAACCACTCCCACTTGTGGACTGTCTGAAGAATTTTGTATCTAGAATCACCTTTACCATGCTTAAGAAAAATACAAGAAAGTCTTTTATTAGGTCTCCTGGTCATATGAAGAGGAAAAAGGTAAGGGACAAAATAGAAGAATCTGATAAAACCACGTCTTTGAAATGTTGTAAAGACACAAGAGCTCTAAGCACTCTCCAGATGTCTCTTGAAGCAACCAATAATAAAATATTCTCAGCTGGAATCACAATTCTGAAGGCATTGAGTTCACTTGGTAATTATGGCAGTAGCCAGTAAAACAGGCAGCTTCATCTACAACCTGACTGCAGGAAAAAGGCATGAAAGTGCTTTGAAGCCACACATTTGTAATTACCTAATTTATGATAAAGATGTAAACAGAACCACCATTTTGAAAGTCACAGCGCAGTCTTGTAGAGAATTAGAAATAGGGTGTGAAGTTGTGATATGAAATTATACATTCCTCACTCCAGTATCAAACACCATGGGCAAAAACCCCTGGCCTTTAGGACCCCTGTGTCACTCAGGTTTTTTTTTTTCTTTCTTTCTTTCTCATCTATTCCACTTCCAACAAACCTCTGAAGCTGAACTTAGCAAAGCAACGTCCCAGTCTCACCGAAATGATAATCTATCGAAACCCCACTAGAGGGACAGAGACTGCCAAGAGGGAGAACAGTGCAAGGAAAGGGTAAGAGCTGGACTTACTGAGATGACAGGCTTTTTGGAAGTTCTTGTCAAAATGGACTGCAACAGGGAGCATTTACCCGCCTCTACCACGATCCCATGCATTTCCAGGGCTAGCTGGGACTTTTTCCTCTCCTCTTGTAATTCTCATTAAAATTATCAGCCTACAGATTTCATAACAAGCAGAAGAATGAAAAAACCCAAACATTATCACGAGAGAAATCGTATTATGATTAACTATTTCAAAATGCCTGTGGGTTACTTAATACCTTGGGACAGGCAGCATAACATCACAAAGGTGTCACTGTGTGGGGACAGGAAACAGCCCCCTGCTGAAAATAGGTGTGAGGCAGCACACAGCAATGGGGGCCTCTCCCCAGAGCTCTGGGATTGGGCTATGCACATGGCACTTGCAACCTGCACTCAAACCCATCCGTGACCCAGATATCTCCCTACCCCTGCCCCATGCCAAAATCTGCCCAACTTTGGATTTTAAATCCCTTAGAGAAGCGGGTATGTTTTTGGGTGGCTGGTAGGAAGAGGCTGAAGTCCCGAACAAAGCTAAATACAGCTGTGACTAAATTCAAAAGGCTCCTTCAATGCAGTAGTGCATGAAGGCTTTTTACTTCACTTTGCCTCTTTTCTGGTGTTTGGAGTTTTCTTAAATGCTGGAAGTGCATTCAGGGATGAACAGAGAGAGTCATATGCCCACCATTCCCTAGGCAGGTCAAGCAGCAATTCCGTTTTGTTAGTGCAAAGGGCAGGATTCAAGGAAAGGAGAACACAGGAGTCTGCTCTGGCAGGCAAAAAGAGTGCTTGGCAAGACAACAACCATATGGCACATGAACAAAGCATATTTTAGATTTGGTTCATTTGATTCCATTATATGTAAAAGATGCTCTAAGATCCATGGCTAAGAAATACAATTTTGGTTATTGTTTTCAGACCTGTAGGGATTTCTCCAAGTAGTCCTTGTAGCTCATATGATAAAAACATTTATTTGACAGCTAATTTTAGCCTTTTTTACCCACAGGGGTGATTAACCTGAATCTATATAACCCTGTGCTATATGCTAACAGCAGCCATCCTTGCCTCTGCCAGCCTCATGAAGTAGCAATCCACTATT